GCCTCCTATACTTGCAGTTCCACTACACCTTTTGAGCGTGGAAAGTAGGGCTTTACCCCAGGGACGTCTATGTTTTGTGTACAACCTCTATCAGCACAGTGAAACTCCCCACGCGAAATCACCATGGATACAACAAAGATTTCAAAAGCATTACCCATGACCTTTCCAGAGCCAAGATGTAGGATTTGGCAATAATTTATTGAACCTCAAGAGCATTTCCACCCATTACGAAGCAACAAAGTGTAAACACACGAAACTGCAGCACACGCTGGACACATTGTAATTTCGCATTAAAAATGCACCAAACGGCTCAGTGCGTAGCAGATCCGAGAGATTCGACAAAAGGCGCTGCAACCTTCGAACATCACTATCAGTACGTTTTATTTTATTTGTAATTTTTTTCTCCGACCACAACTTACGCTATATTATATTAAGCTTTTCTGCGGTAATCGCTTAAAGTAGTAAGAATAATAAGTTCAAAATTTGCTTATATAAATCAGTACAGAAACTTGAGCAAATTTCCCTCAACAGATATCAACAACCTAATTAATATATTTACTGAAAAAAAATTGAATTTAAGAAAAATGCAATTGAAAATGGTGTAAAACTTACCAGAAGCACCTAAAAGAGCTGTTTCGAACCTAAAAGAAACGAATAAAACCACATAAGGAGTATTTTACACATTAAGATACTGATAGCAAATCATTAGTCACACTAGGGACGGATTATATGTCAACAAGCATTCACACACATTCTTTCTAAACCCTGAAAGTTGTTTTCCTGTATTTTTGGAACTCCCTTATGTGCAAAATATATTTTGACTGTCGATGCCGCGTGAGGAATACTCTTCCTCTCTTATCCACGGTACCTTTGCCTTCATTTAATTTCCACTGAACATTCAAAGAGTCTCCAACAACGCAAGCCATCCTGTGAACCTGTATCATCCCTGCCTAATCTTATTGGTCTCTAGAAGCGCAAGAAAGGCAGCATGCACCTTAGATCATGAACCAAAGGATATTTCCTTCCCATCACCATAGGCGCGTATACCATACCTTCTTCTCTTGCTTGGAGCTTCAGTCGATTCCATATTATGAAAAATTTCTCGGAATGGATTTCTAGGAAAAAAATCACACAGCATCATGGCACCAAATCAACAAATATCATGTCGACGCCCTTTTATTTGCGGCGTTAGCTCAGCGTCGAAAACATACTATGCCTGGTGAAATCTGTCATTATAACGGGTTTTTTTAACGAACCGACCATTGTGGCATCACAGAAAGTAGAAGTAAGGTAACTTTCAAGACAAAGACAGCCGAGCAATCACAAATCTTTTTAACTTTCTCCTCCTACATAATGAACTGAAATTTGCTCGTACACTAATTCTTGCTAAATTGACCTCTGCACTCCAGCAAAGTGCTCAGAATGCAAAATGTGCTCAAACGTCCCTAAATTAGACTACGAGAGGCTCCTTGTTATTATTAGTGCTACAGGACGCGCATTACTCCACCAGTGGAAATATTTGAGACGAGTTGGGGAGGGGTTTGCCAGTAGACTGGCACTAATAATCTTCTAGCAGACCTCTCGCCTAACTTGCGTTGCTCATAACTCATATTTCCCACGGGCGTGGAGACACTGGTGCCGAAGCACTGATACGCTCTTTATTTTTATAACACCCCGTTCAGTACTGAGAGCGTTCAGGATGAGATTAATTAAAATTTTAAGAACATACTAAGAACAGACGGCCAAGCTGAGAATTTGTTTAGAACGTCTTTATTTTGCTCATATTTTTGGTGAGAAGTGTAAATAAAGGTAAAAGGAATGTAAAACTGTGATCTGACAGGAAAATGAACTCAAATACTTTGGGGCATTTTTTAAATAACATTTACAATATGGTTGGATTAGGCGTAAACGACCCGACAACAACAACAATAACGCCATTCTATCTGTCTTTACGCTCAGCGAGTATCCCTGAGTGAAGCAGACAACGTTGCGCTAGATATCATTTTCCAGTTTAAAACGGAAAGACATGCCTATGCATAGCCTGCATAGCATAACCTGCATGAATAGCCCTATAGTCTCTATTTCCGAGCAAAATACGGTATAAATACAAACATTTCTGTTGATTATACCTCAAAACCTAAATATATCAATTCATCTACTGACTTTCAATTTCCGCCGTCACGTTGAAGCATTCAATTCCTCTTTGCAGTCGAAGTATTTGCAGTCAAATACCCTCAAACCACCAATGAAAGTGATAACCGTCTCACTCACCGCTTTTACGCATCACAAAATTCATCTGTGAGCGCGCTTTTGGTGATGTCTTCAAGCTTAAATTGACCTTTGTATAATTAATCTTGCAACACTAGACTATTTCGACACATTGATTATTTCATTTGACGCTCTTGACTTTCAATCACTGACGTGTTTCACACAAACGAATACAACTGTAGGAAATACGCCAAATCTGGCAGATCTACCCAGAATTTGATCGGAGGTTTGAGTGAAAAACGATTCCGGGTCATACTTCATGGGTGACCTAGCTTCAGTAACTCGAAAAAAGGAAAGATGAAGAAAAGGGTTATTATCAAATGCGACACAAATTGGACTTCTCCTTGACCAGAAAAGGAACACTTAACATACACGATTTAATCATAATTCCAGTGGCGCTACTGCAATAAGCAGCGTGCGCGCCGCAGAAGATAAACAGTGCAATAAGAAACCACCGGAAAGAAACGCATTTTCTTACAAAAAAACCACTCTGCGTTAACATGATACCTGGACACATGAGCCCTTTCTTAAATTTCATCCAAGCAACGTCTATATTAACGTTTTACATGACGTGAATCACGCGAAGATTTTAATTTAGTTTGGCTAAAGAATCGCGAAACGCCCCCTGAGAGCTGCGACAAAATTACAAGCAGCAATCTCCAACCCACACAATTCGGGCAAAAAGCTGTTCTTTGAAAGATGTATAAATATTGTAATGAATACGTCAAAGGAATTATGAACTACCCATCTCAATTTGATTTCCCGACTGATTGCCATTTATTCTCCTTTGCTATCCAGTTCCAACCATAACAGGACTGATCCTTGAAAGTCTTTTGCAAAACTACAGTGTGCTCAAGCATATTTTGTTTTTAATCTAGAGACAAAGTAGCCCTTGATATAACATTCCAAAGGTTCGACAGACGCCTACTTGAAGATTTTTAGATAGGATGCCATCGGGGATTACCAACTACTATACATTTACTAAACTTACCGGGTAAGGTTGCAGTTCTTGTAGGTCGTCTCTTGAATTAGAGTCCTGAAAATATAATCCTTGTTTTTCAGCCGCCAAAATGTCGAACTGCACCAAGTAACACCCACGTGCAGCCGGCATTCGCCATTACTCTTTGAAGAATCGTTTGAGACGAGTTTCAAGGTGCCCTCACTGTAATTTGAAACCCCGAATATATTGTTTACAAGTTATGGCTTCCTTTGAGTTAATTGGAGACAAAAGTAAAGAACGACACCTGCCTGTCATTATCTGAACTTGTTTAGTATTCGATTACAAAGCTAAAGCACTGAATGACACATTTCTGTAGGACACAAAACCTTCCCTTGTTTGCGTTGAATTTATTCCTTATGTTATGAAATGAACTTTCATCACTTGAATTTTGATACACTTTGCATCTTGAAAATGGAAGAGATATCGCATTACCAACTGATAAATTACTCTTTGTTCAAAAGTGTCAACAAGTTGAAAAATATATTAAAGTTAAAAATACTATAGATGCCTGACTGCCATCCCGGTCGTTCAATCATTTAAGAGCAGCCTTACAGGTCATACCGCCCCAAGTCTACAGGTCTTTAGCTGTTACAGTCTTCTAGCAGATTTGATTTGTACAGTGATGTCGTGGTACAAAGCGATTTAAGAATGGAAGCGAACTTAAAATGAACTTCTCCAAACAGCATTCCCCCAAATGGGCCGCTCTTTCTTCCCTTCTTTTTTTCCCTTCCTTCCTTTTAACATAACTTCCCAATAACAGCGGGTTAACACTAACCACCATACTGCCCCATTTCATGGTTTTGTTATTGTGTTATTTTCATCTTAGTACTGTTATATGAATAAGAGGTTTGTCCATCCTTTCAGACCTTCTCAATGAGGTTGCGGAATGCGTGACATCTCGCTCAAACGGGTGATCCCTAATCAGGGGTCTATTTTGCCAAAGTGGAAATGATTTGTCTTAAGTGCTTGTAGCGAAATTGTACCTTACTCGTTTTGTTTTATTGAAAATTTTCATGTGAATATTTTTCTTTTATTGACATAGTCTGATTGCGTTACGAATTGATGTGCTAATGTACGTAATAATATTTGTGATCGTGATCACAAGTGGCATAATTTAAAATAAAACCCAACCTCGCAATTATGGCCTCTGTTTCCGTTTCTGTCTAAAGGATGATCGCGTGTGATCATATTCGTATGAAACGAAGTAAGTTGATGGTCGTCGTGAGAGTTTTGATGCTAACTAGAATCACAACTGGGTTGATATTGTACATATGGTCTAAATTTTGTGCACTGCTGTCAATCAGGCTGTCAATCTGCTTTCCTCGCGGAGCAAGAGTATAAAAGAAAGCGAAAAGAGATTGGGACGAAATGAGACTGATTCAAGAAGGGGTTTGGCGCACTGCTACTTCAGTCTTACCTAGATTAATTGCATTTGTTGCGATTCGTTGTTATCTTTCCTCGCAAATAATTTGCATGTAGCATGATAGCTCTAATATTGAGGAATAGAGAGGGAGAAGATGTATTTTTTTAACATGAAAGTGTAGTACATTCAATGGCTTTTAATGTCAAAGAAACCTAGTAAAGAGAAATGTTATGAAAACCTTGACTATCTCTTAAATTTTCTCCTTCTAGTGATCGAAGAATAATCCTCCCGGTAAAAGAATACGTTTTACTTTTTTCGGGTAAACAAAAACCCGCGTCTATTTTCACTTCAGTCCAAGTTCCCTTAAAAATTGATATTTTTAGAGCAAGACAACCATTCTTTTTAGCTAAGACATGAATAGAAATACATGCACCACTCGAATGATAAAGGTCCATTGAGGAAACTCACTCAAAATTTATTAATATTTATTATTATTGTGTGGGTAACAATCTGAACCCAACAACCCGCCAAAATTACGACTGTTCTGCAGACTATCTTCGGTTAAGACGCCGAACACACCATTGACAGGAAATCAACTCAAAGATTGCAACAAAGGTTACTTCCCACCTTCGCCGATGTCCTTCAGGAAAAAAATTCGTACGTGCGCAAGTTTCACTAAAATCCTAGAATACTATATATCAGAAGAAAGCTTAATAACTGCAGTTTACGATAAAAATATAATTTAAGCAATTTTTCGTTTAAGGAAGTGTCAGGAGCGGGTAAGGCGTGAAACGACCGCAGGTTCTTCTATTGAATTTATCAGGTATCGGATGCCGCAGCACGAGCAAAATGGGTGCACAGTCATTCACAAGACATCAATCAACTGAAGTGCGTCTGGCTTTTTCGATATTCTGATTGGTTGTCTAGATATCAGCATCTAAAGTTGGAGTAGCTAAAAATATGCTAAGGGGGGTTGCGTAAATGGACGCCACGGGACAAATATTTCAAATATCAAAATTTCCTGGCAGACTTTCGTTTGTCATTATTCCTAGAATGTTTTGGCGAAATTTGTCGCAATATCAGTCAACCTATATACCCTGTAAATTTGCTTAAAGTGGTTGTATTCCCCCTAAACTCAAATGCAACAATTTTTTCCTATTTTTTTCAGTGTTCTTTATATTCGAGCTAAATATTGCATAGCTTTATTGAACTATTTTACGAAGAACGTAATCAATAGTGCTATAGCCCCTTAGTTTGTTGATGTACGCCCCAGTAACCTTTTGAAATTTTTTGGC